ATATATATGTATGTATGTATATATATATGTATGTATGTATATATATATATGTATGTATATATATATATATGTATGTATGTATGTATATATATATATATATGTATATATATATATATATATGTATGTATGTTTGTATTTGCATTTAATTCATGCTTATTAAAGTATGCTATAAATATATTAAAAACTGATTTTATATTAAATTTATTTTCTAGTAAATCAAATTAGTTTCAAAGTTTAAATTAGTGTATATAATTTTTTTTAAATTTGATTGAAATTTTGATATTCAAACTAAATTATAAGTTGTATGATTATTAGTTTAAGATGCAAAAAAAATAATTATATAATATTTAATTTTTTATTTTATTATTTAATAAAAATCAATTTTTTGTGCGTTCACATAATTTTTCTTTGTCAGTACATTTTATCAGTTTTATTTAAAACTACAAAAAAAGTAAAACTTTCAATATTGGTCTCAAGCTTGAATTAATTTGTGCCCCTGCTGAAAAAATTTTCTGGCTCCGCCCCTACATGGAAAGTATTAGAAGACATGGCTGACAATTTTTTAAACTATTAATGTAATAAAAGTTTTCTTGGGACAACAATCTAATATATCAGTATTGTGGCGCTTACTGGACTTTAATTGATATAATGGAGCTGGTTATTGAATTTCCTTTTCGCAGTAACATGAAATGATGCAGCAAAGGTCATGAGTCTAGTTTAAGGCTTTTTACCTCATAGGAACCAATGTGTGAATATATGTGTTTTCAAATGTTTATCATGTCTTTAGAAGCAGTGTAGGTAGCTATAAAAGATTAACTTCACTATATCAGTAGCATTATCATGTCTTTATTTCATAAGGTATGGAAGAGCTGTTTAAAATTAAAAATGCTGTTCTTGCTATTTTCTTTGATAATTGTTTAGAATTTATGCCATTTTTTTTTTAAGTTGAAGAAACCATCTTTTGCTATTCCAAATGAAAATAACCCTCCATCTGATTGCTTGGAGAATACATATTTTAGAAGTTGATAAAATGTGCTAATTCTTTCATTCGGAAAGATTTAGTTAGAAATCAGCATTGTCTTCAGGCTCACAAAATACGCTTACTACTCTATAAAATTTAATGATTTTGATTTAATACATGATGAGCAGAAATAAAATCATCACTTTTCCAAATATGCTTTTTATCTGCAAGCAATCAAATAAAATCTGAGATGACTTAACGGCTCTTAAACTAACGTTATATAATAAACAGGCTGACATTGTTTCAGTAATTGAACAATATTAGATTGTATGTTAAAGGTTTACTCTTATTGTTTCATAGAGCTTTCTTAGTGGCTTTGATTATAATGTTGGATGAAATTGATATTGGTATAACGTTCCTTGGGCCAAAACTAGTGCTTTAAGTGGTTAGCTTGGAGGGCTTTATTTGTAAGAATGGTGTTGCATTTGTTTTTTTTTATTTTGGGTAATGAATGGCCAAATCTGTAATTTCTATATGACTATTCTTGCTTATTCATGCCGATATTTTATTGCATATACTTTCCATAGGTGTTTGTTGCTCTGATTGCTCTCTCTTCTGATGGCTCTATGATGAGCACCGTTGATGTTAAGCTTCCTGAGGAGGATTTAGGTGGTCTTGTGACTCTGAAGTTTTGGAGTGGTGGTTCCCGGCTTGGAGAGTATGCCTTGTCTACTGTGATTTTTGAGCCTCACAGGTTAGATACACTCAGACATTAAATCTGCATGTTTTTTACTGGGGTTGATAGAGAGTGCTCTCTCTCTCTCTCTTATATAAGCATTAATCATCATAATTATGATACATTATTAATCATTGGACAAAATTTAACAACTACGATGCAAAAGACTCGATACAAATAGGTACATAATAGAGCAAATATATCATAGAACGAATAGGTTGCCAAATTTTTAAATGGTTGACTTTCAGATTGATTTTCCTAGGTTGATTCAAGGGAGAAACTAGGAGAGAAAAATATATGCAGTGTAGCTTGATCGTAAAAGGGGTCATTGAGAAGTGAATTGTAAGAAAATAAGAGAAATATGTAAATAATACTCCATGGTTCCACCCTAGAAGGAGAAGTGCAAGATGTAAAGAAAGAACTATTCTTATGATATAGCATCTACCAACCATTGAGGCTTTCAATCAATACTTTGCTAGAGTAGACACAAATTTAAAATAGATGATTTTTACAATAATTATAAATTACCTTAACCCAAAATTGTCTGTGAATGACACCCAAAAAATAGTGCATAAAAGGGAAGAGAGAGAGAGGGAGGGAGAAACAGAGAGAAAGAGGGAGAGTTGTATTAACTTTTCTGATAGTTGTCCCCCAATAGATGAAAAAGGTCCCTTTTACATTCACACTTCCCCCTTTATATAGGAGCATTTTATTATAAAATATCTATATAAGTAATAATTACATTCCAAGGATAAAATATCAGAGATAATATATTTTATATCTATTATCCGTGCACTTCTTCTAGTCACATTTCTCCTGAGTCGAGTGGAGAGGGACGACTGAAGAGGGTTGAGTGGAGAGGGCCAACTAAAGAGGGTCAAGTGAAGAGGGCCGACTAAGAGGGGCCGGCTGGAGAGGGCCGAGTGAAGAAGGCAGGGTCGACTTAAATTGAGTTCAATAGGTTCTCTAGACAATCTCAGCTATTTAAACTGTGAATGAGGGTTTTTGTCAAACATATTATTTTTTTATTATCTTACCTCTTTGAAAGTTAATTACCAAAAGATAAGAGAATGATGAATATGAAATTAAAATTGTTCGTCTCTATAAGACAAGTGCATGTTTATCTGGTCTAACAAATGAAATCATTAGTGAACAATGAAATATATATATTTTTCATTGTTTACTATATATATGGTTTAGATGTGTGCCTACTTGTGTTTTATGTGCTTCATGCATTCCTACGATGTAAATGTTTCTCATACATTGATTTTTCATTCATTCATCTTATCATTCTTATTTCCATTACACACAAATGTTAATGATATTTGCATGGCCTAACATTTAGATCTCTACAATATCGCTGACCTAGTTGCATTTTAATAAAATTTATTTTCAAGTCTCTATGAGATCCTCTTATTTTACAAAAGTTTCAACGTGTGCCTGGATTTTTTCTTATCTACTAATAATATTGAGTGATAATTGTTAATATTATACCCATTATCCACTATATGCAATATTGAATTTCATAAAAATTTTCAATTTTCTATTATTCCAAGTTCCTTATCCTTAATAGTTTTCTACTATATTTTTTTTTACTTCTTTTTGTGGATGTCCTCGCTAATTAGAATCGTTTCATCTGTAAAAAACATGCACTAATAAACCTCGCTTTGAATATAATTTTTCATGTCCATAATTGATGATAATAAGATATAAAATCAACAATGACCGTTTCTACATACTTATGATAATTGGTGCAAAATTATTATAAGCGATTTACCAATTCAAATGAAAATTCCATTTTTCTGTATTTTCAGATTTTTAGCTCAAAAAATCATAATGACAAGTAATTTTTTCTCCTAATAAACTGGCTGGATATTTATTTAATTCTACACTTGTTTGATCTTCAAACAAGCAAGATTGATTTTCGTTAATGAATGTTACCAAAAGAATGATTTTATATTTAGTATGTTTGTATGGGCTGCGGAGGAAGTAATTTAAATTCAATGAAGCTTTGTGTGCATGTCCTTGCATTCAAACTAAAGCCAGGGAATTTAATGTTTAAAAATCTCTTTTTAATATAATGTTTGGAAATCACTTTTTTTCTTCCATTAAATTTACACCATTATTTCTAATACTTCATACTAAAGCTTCATAAAATTTATATATTTCTATTTCTACAATTTTTTCATATGGTTGATTAAAATCAGCAACATTAATGTCCATTTTATAGCGATTTAAATCAAACAGACAAGCAAAAATATATGTATACATATATGTATACGCGCGCGCGCACACAGTGTAAAAGATTTGCAAATGACTCTTCAATTTATTTAAGGGGGATTTACAGATTTACAGCCACACCATCTCAAACCCTATTTTTTGCAACTACACCTTAAAACTTCCCATACGTCACTTCTGCTACCCAGTAAGCTGGCATCATCACACTGTTTCTAACTCCATTTTCACATGATAATGGGTTGCTTTGAAGAACACTGGATCTGGAATTGGAGGACTGAAAAAAAAAAGATTTATGAGAAAATCGTAATTAATTCAAACTTTTCCTACAGATCATGCTAGCTTGTGAAACTCATCCGCCGCCCCGAGCATTCTGTCAAGTAATCACACTTATCCAAAAAGGGAAAGCAAGCACTAACCACTAATTCAGTTGTTTATTGTGATGACAAATGTGAAAAACTGCAAATATTTATCAGAGCCAAATTCAGTTCTTTTAATCCAACCACTGCTTAACTTTTACCTTTCTCTTTTATTTTTAAAATTTTTTTAACTCATGCACAAGCCCATATGTGCCAGGCCTTAAACTCTAGTCCATATGGTCGGAGAGAAAACACCCAACCACTAGGCTAAGTAGGCTGCACATAAAAGGAATCTCTTACCTTTCCGATTGTTCTAACCAACCCAATTCATATTAAGTTTAATCTGTGTTCAATTTAGTGGAAAAAGGGGTTTGTTTCTTGCTGGATCCAGATCCAAACAGTGGTTTGATTGGCATTCATAACTTGTAAATGGTTCAGTTCAAGCTATATAGATTTTGAAATTCTCTTGTTATGCAAGGAACTGCAAATACAAACAAATTTAAATATGTAGAAATATTTTACCTTTCAGTTCTTATACTTGATATTTGCTTGATTATACATACATGCATACATATAATTATACACACACAAACACACACATACATGCATACATATACACATACACATATCTAGAAGCAAACTGTCACATTGTTCATTCTTTCTATATATCTATAGATATATGTGTATAGATACATACATACATATGTGTGTGTGTGTTAGAAAATAACCTGCTGGAATTTGTTTTTTTTTTCCAGTAATGCACAAATTTCTGCTATTGCATTCCGTCCTGGGCATTCCATGGCTGTAAGCTCTTCCTTGGGTGGAAATTTCAAGGTAGCATTTTTAATCAGCTATTTATGAAGTTCTCCGCACCCTTTATCTAAATTTATAGCTGCACCTTTTTTATGATGCAGGTGTGGGTTAATTCTACCAAATCCCCTCAAGAAGGTCAGACACATCATAAATATGAATGGAGATGCCAATCTGTTGGTTCGTACAAGTAATAATCTTTTTTCTACTTCGCTTTTGTAGATTATAATTCTGCACTACGGGTTTTCAATAGACTTTTATGAATTTTTTCGGTAATTTCTTCTCATATGAAAAATTTTCAGACAAGATAAGGATTAATGCGATTCATAGAGATTTGCTACATTTTTCAAGCAATTTGATTTAACTTTTTTAGCTAAATAATTATTATGTTTGTACTTGGATTTATCTTCCATTAACAGTTTTTTTATTCAAATAATATTGCCTTAAGTTTGTTGCCATAAATTGTCGGATTAGCGGATCATGCAATTCCAAGTGCATGAGGAACTCTCCATATGATGCGCGTTGAGTACACACATCATTGTTCCGAACAATTAATGTATAAAATATACATATTAAAAACAATGAACGATACTTATAATAAGCCTTCTTATTTTTCTTATCATTTAAGCTCTTTGTTAACCTTGCCGATGTTTCTCTTCAAGTTTTGTGGGGGTAGTTAACCAATCAAAATGAATCATTTAAAATATGCAAGAATGAAAATATTGAAACTGCTTTGTTTGGAAAATTGTGCTAACCTTCCAAAAAGAAGGCAAAGTAATCTCGATTCTTGTGAGATATAGCACACTTAAATGATGTTCGAAATAGTATGCAATCATCTTACTTGGTAAAGCCTAGACTTGTTAAGTTAACGTTGCTTTTAAAAATAAAAGCTTGTCAGGGATCAATTTTGTTTTTTATTCTTTTTTATGTTTTTGTTTCTGTTTCAAAAATATATTTGTTTGTTGTATTTTTCATATTTTTTATTTTTTAATTTTAAAAAACTAATGAGTTTGTTTTTAAAAATGCTCAAAACAACTAAAATATTTTTAAAAGTTGATTTATTTTCAATATGACACGCATGCATTACATAAATAAAACAAAATAAAAATACAAAATAGAAAACATAAAATAAAAGTAATCCCAAATGGCTCCAAAGAGAATACTCATTGTCTAAAAGTTTTGTTTTCATCTGGATATGTAATTCCAATTGCTTACAATAGTGCATTTTTTAGAATTCAAATCAATATGGTCACCAGTCACAACATCAAGGAACCAAAAGTAAAAGAGTCGAATAGTGAAAATGACGTTGAAAGTTACAGCTTTATCAAAATGATATATTTGACGTTATATGGTCTCTTAAATGCTCAATGGCCTTCTTATTCTCTCAATTTATTCTTACATTCTCTTGCCTTCTGATGGAAATCTGAACTTGTAGGAATGTGCCCATGACTGCGGCCACATTTTCCCCCGACGGCTCTGTACTAGCAGTTGCAGCTGAGACTGCGTTTACCTTATGGGATCCTGACAAGAATGTTCTTATAGCTGTAATTGGAAATACAGTTGCGGTAATGCTTTTTATTATTTCATAGCATGTCTGATAAAATTTTGTTTCTTTTTTATTTTTATTTTTTTATTTCTGTTTTTAAAAAGTATTTTTGTTTGATGTATTTTTCTTGTGTTTTTAAAATTAACTTTATTTTATATTGAACATGACAAATATATTTTGTTTCGAATTAAAACTTAAAAATAAACAAAACAAAAAAGAAGCTATAAAATAAAATAAAATAAAATAAAACTGAAGTGATCCCAAATGGCACTTAATTTTAATGGCTTACCCGACTGTAAAAAGATAAGCTTTTTATGTTAACGATGACTTTTATTGATGTACTTTTTGAATGAAACTTTTAAACCGTCTATTGTTATTTGCAGCCCATCTGTGATCTGTCATTTGTTGCTCATTCTGAATATTTAGTTTCAATATCACGGGGTTTGAAAACACAGTTGGCCGTTTGGAATTTGTCAAAGCTATCTATGCATTGGTCTTACCAAATTTCTGCAGAAGGTTTGTTGAATCCTTGCTTTAATATGAGTTTGCATATGCATCCCCATTCTTAGTTATAATGGTGTTTTTTGTTCTTTTATGTGGGAGGGGCTCAATGGGGTCAAGCTGCAATGTTGTTAGCAGTAGGAATTAAAGTTAAGAATTGCGAATTTGATGAGTTTGAAATAGTAAAGAGAACCTAACAGCTAAAATAATGTGCTCATATTCATCCCTAAAGCTTGAGATAGTAATTTCCATTTGTCATACTAAACAATAATGAAAGAGCATATATGGAGCTAATTCGAGCTAACAAATTTTTTTCTGTGTGAGTTAGTGTTTTACCGATGTGGACATTTATTATGAAAGAATAATTATTTGTACAAGAATATGAAAATATTGATTCAGAATTTTAAAAGAGAATGATTTACTTGAACAAGCTGTCAGTAATAAGATTTACTTTGCTAATTTGTCAAAAATAGGTGAGAATGTAATGAACTTTGGGTACATTTGGTTTAAAAACGTTGTTTTTTTTTATTTGCTCATTTTATTTGTGAAAAATGTAATCGTCATTTTTGAGATATGTTGAGGAAGTTTTCGGTTGACATCTTGATTTTTGTTTCACTTTTGTCCATTTCAAGTAACCGAATGATC